CTGGGAGGGGAGTCAGGTAAGGCAAGCGCGTGGCGAAATAAAGCAAAGAAAGAAGGCGCAACGAAGAATATATTAATATTATATTGCATATTATTACACACAACACATCAGCTATTGGGGTTTGTGCCGAATGTGTGGAGCCGCCTTCAGCGCAGAATGGAGCAGGCATATGAGCGCCGAGAGCACGAAGTAAGGCAGAGTGTGGCTCCGTGGGGTCGGGGACGGTGGCCGAGCGGGGACGTGGGTTGGGTTGGGCGGAGGCTGCCTCGCAGGCTCATCCCCTTTATCCGCGCGGCGCAGGAGAGGGAGCTGAAGCGCGGCCGCGGACGAGGAGAAGGTCTGGGACAAGCGCAGCGGCGGAGCAGATACTGACTAGAAGGGCCCTCCTTCCACCCACACAGACGGAGCCTCCGGCGCGGAGACAAGGGCCTCTTGGGCTGAGAGTTTCTTCAAGACCTCTGCTTTGCGTCACATGAACAGTTGAGGAACAAATATTGGAGGTAGAATTATTCACAATCTCCAACAGAACTCACAGAATCACAACGATTTGCGGGGAGGCAATTGTGGATGAAGAACTACTTCTCCAAAGTAAGTCAACTTTCTCAGAGAATATGCGTGAAATACACCAAAATGACTTCAATTTCTAGGAATACTAACTAAAAAGTATAACTTAAATTTAACCGTTCTAGAATTATTAATGAAAACGTTTTTAATTATATCAACCAAAAAAATCATAGAGTAAGTCAATAAATAGCGATTTCTTTGTGTATTTGCTTCTCAAGAATATGAAGTATTTGTTTTCAATGAATTGGGCTTGGGATATCCCTACAAATTATTTATACAATTGGGTGAGAAGACAGGAGAGGGAAGGTGAGGCAAAGGTATTTTCACTGTGAAGGTAGATACAAATGTAACAGTGAGCTTTGATGCAGGAACAATACAAAATAAATTGGGACAAAAATGTACATAAATCGAAGAGATCACAAACATAAATAACTTAAAATACTGAAACACAATGTGACACTGAAGCGCGAGAGTGCAGAGGAGCACAGCGGCAATGAACAGGGAGCAACAAGTGTAGGTTGCAAATTAAAACCAAATCCTTAGCCTAAAAACACTATAGGTTATTGCACAAGAAACACAATACAACATTAGAAGTAGTTCGCAAAAAGCGTGCAATGAAGATTGTTAATTTCTCTCATTTGACGTTTTATTTTTTGACAGACGAAACCTTAGTGCAAATGTGAAATTGCAGCAACTGATTAAGATAAATTTTAAAAACTGTACCGATATCTACCTGAGCAAGCAAACATGCAAAGTTAATGAAAAACGCAAGAAAGTCTATTAAGGCAAGGGCAGGGGAAGTCGAAATGTGAGGGAACCCAAAAGGGAAAAGGAAAGAGTAAAAGTGTAAGTAATAACGAGATGAAGCTGTCAGTTAATGTTCGAAGTCACGTAGATGAGAACACCCGACCATGTCACGGCCGCGTCCAGATTCCGGTTACGAAACTGCAGTCAGGGCGCGGTCTCTGTCAATTACTCTAAATAATCGTTATTTTTATGGTATGGTTTTATTGCAGATAGACTATGACGCGGTAGTTCCGCAATTACAGTTTGTAAACCAGGAGATGAAAGCAACCGTAATGAGACGGGAGAAAGACAAAACCATATTGCGGGGTGTTCACGAGCGGGAATACAAGGCGCGGGATCTTCGGAAAACCTGCCGCGATTCGGCTTTATTCATGAAATCGTGTACGTGTGGTGACCAGCCTTTGCATCTGGAGAGCAAAGAGAAAGCGCGGCAGGTGACCGGGGAGAGCCGATTGCGCGAGGCTGGTCACTCAGTGGTTGTGGGGGCGCGCCTCCCTGAGAAGGCGAATCCGCGCGCGCGGTTGCGCTGGGGGATGGGGAGGGGGGCCAACAGACAACGCCTCGCGTCCCGGGCAGGCGGCGGCGGCGGCGCAGGCGCGTGGGCGATCAATGCACCGTGGCCGCCGCCGCCGCCGCCGCTCCGCCCCCAGCCGCCGTCGCACTGTGGTTTAGATTGCGCAGGCATCTCTCCTCAGCGCAAATGCGCCGGGAACGATTAGTTAGGACTCTCCGAATGCAGAACCGGCAGATATGGCTCACGGCAGCACTGTTGGCAATGCAGTGTCTTGGGCCGGGACGGTTGGGGCGGAGGCTAAGGTTGGAATCCAGACGGGGGCGGAGTTACCAACATCGAATGCAGTTTCTGTCGCTAGAATGGGAAGAACAATTCCGGAAAGAGCCTTCTAGCGACCGACTATTCTCATGGGTAGTTGTCTGCAGTTTTTCCATTCAATATCAGGCGAACGGCGGGGCAATACATTAATAAACGGTCCGCGTGTAATATTTTCTTCTTCATTCTTGTCTTCTCCTCTCCCCTTATTCACATGTACTTTTAAGCACCAAGCTACCGCCAATGTCGGGAACTTAGAATTTCTACCGACTGCAACAGTGACCTGCTGGCTGAGATACCAACAGGGGGAGCCCCTCAAAAGACGACGTGTTAGACAGTGCTGGATTTCACGTTCCATCGGAAGAGGAATTCCGCCACCTCCCCGAATATAACATGCACAACTAATGATTTCAGCAGTTGACGCGCCCGTAAACAGAAAATAAACAATCAACCAACCCAAAACAGGTAGTGTTCAATGACTTAGAAAAAAATTGAGACAGCAAATCCCTTGAAAAAATTAAGACAGAAAAAACTATCGGTGGTGTATTTACAGACGAATTTTAGGTGCAAAACATCATGAAAGTCAAGTTCTATTTAAGTTAGCAATACAATAATAATTCATTTACTATTCCAGCGTCCGAGGCATGAATGATCATAGAAATCATTTTACGTAATATTTGAATTCTGTCATGCGTAGAGTAGAAACTACGAATTTATCCTCCGAAAAAAATTAAACATTCATTCTTCTTATATTGCAGTACATGCCGCTGTGTGAGTTTTTACATAAGAAATCATACTCTCTTTATACCACCTTTTAAACAATTTCACTTAAACTGTTCAAATAGGATGCAAGTTGGAAAAAGCCATACCATGCAAAATTCCTAATTACACCGACCGACTTAATTACACCTTCAAGGATTTGCAATTGCCCGACAATCTTCAAGGTGTTAATTTTTCCTTCGTGTTTTTTTCTGTAACATACGCATATTTTCAAATTAAATCTCGTTAGTTTGTATTTTCCCAAGACTAGCTAATAATGGACGAATGCTGTTTCCGGGCATGTCAATATTACAGCAACGGCTGAGATTACCGGTCCCTAAGTCTAGTGCTTGTTTATATTGCAAGAGGTGGCGTGATCTTTCCTCGCTGAATGGCGACATCGGACGCTTGTCATGCATGTCCGCTTGCGGAATTTTCCCCAAACTATCTCCCACCAGCGGGAGAAGCTCTCGGCGTATGTGGTAGTGCAGTGCTGGTGTACGGAAGAGTACGAGTAAGTGAATATGAGTAAGGAGTGATGATAGGACAAGGAAGAGGAAGCGCGAGAGTGCGCGAGATCGCGCAAGGACCCTGCCAGTATGTTAGGACACTGCTCCGGCATTCGCCTGGTGTTGATCGGAGAAACCACGGAAAAATACCGATCAGAGCAACAGGCCGCTAGAATTCTTCTCCAGACAGAAGATGAACTTGATCCAATTGTCTAGCTAGTGCCGAAAATTCTACACTATCGGGACTCGAATCCTAGGATCCGCTTACGAGGTAACGAAAAATAGTTCAACAACCGAATAACCTTTGTCTATTTTAGCGGCATTCAAAGTTTTTCGTATGTTGCGATGATCTTTATGAAAAACACTACTAACGAGTCTGAAATAAAATATCGGTTCGGTCAGAAGGTCAAGCCACTAAAAAAGAACACAGTACGAGGTGAGTCACATACAGATTAAGCACAAGAAAAAGATAATTGGAAGAAGCAGTATGGGGACCGTAGTCACAGTAGAGACCCGTCAATATTCTTGTACGTTGAAGCACCACAAGTTTCAACTTGGTCGCGCCGTGCAGTCTTGCAACCCCTGAAAGCCAGGCCTTAATCTAGACCTTGTGTCGCTGCTCCTGTGCGGTTGCTTTCGGCGGAGACGGCGTCGCGAGGCCGAGGCCAGAGGTCGCGCGGGCCACTGCAACTCTCGCAGCCTCCCACCCGCCAGGGGCTCCGTACGACCGTGCCCTGCGCCGAGAGCCACGAAGGGGCCGGCGCTCCAAAAGAGACTATGTAGGCAGACGGCGTCCCCCACCTGCAGACGCCATTCTGTCACCGCAGCCTCATGTGCCAGGAAGCGGACAGAGACGTAAACGTTGCTATTGGGGCACAGCAACAAGGTCAAGCGATGTGCGTGATTAAGTAGAGGGAAGACCTCCTTAAAATTATTTGTTGTTCCTTTGATAGGTTGAAGTCATCAATAATTCATTTATCCTCACCCCAATGTAAAATGTAATATTTATTTCGTTGTCATTAACAACAAATATTTATATTTTCTCTTTGAAAGTGAAATGAACTTTCTTTCACTCCGGCTAATTTTATATCATTATACATGTCAATATGACCTACGTAAAATACACATTGGACAACACGTGGATTAAACCAATGAAACGTATTTCGTTAGAGGATTAAATATTTCATTCGATATTTTAGTTTTAATTTCAGGAGTGGAAATTAATAAAATAATGTACACAAAATGCTTATTTATTACTAGTTTTACACTAGCGACACTGAATACCGCCTTGTATTACCCCCTATGAAGCTAAACGTTGAACACGCAAAAAAACTAATCAAATTCTGCCTTGTACGCTACATTTCAATTTGTATATTACCGCAGGGTAACATAATTATCTCTGAAGCACGGATAACAGACCTACTCTTTTATACATTTTCGACAAAATATAAAACAAAATTGTATTACTATACGGTGTATTTACAAAAAAAGTGATGATTGTATTATGGATTTAAAATGTAGGTGGTACTTACCTGATTCATGAATATTCCTAGGAAGAACAACAGCTAACAGGAATCCATGGCACTCGAACCACCCCATCTGCACAAATCTTCCACGATGCACTATTTTCTAATAAAAATTATCCTCGGAATACTTTTCAAAATAATTTAAAAAATTAAAAGCCACGATAACCTATATCACTTGTTCATCGTAAGTTCGAACCTAAACGTTGACTTCATGTCGTTCCACTACTACCACACCTCCCTCACCGCGGATGATCGGGGCTCCATGGGTCTGGAACAGAAAGAAAAGCATTTTTGCAAAGCACGTGTTTGGGCTGAAATAAAATTGCAACGAAGACGCATTTCTAAAATGAGTAATATCACTATTTCACACTGTTCATTTACGTGTTCGGGGTATCACTATTTTCATAACTTTAGTTGTATGTAGATGCCGTAAAAATTTGAACTTTTGCCGTCTTCGAAAAATCAGTATTTGCAACGAACGTGAGATCTGAGCCATTGTCATAAATGTCCCTTTACAGTATCCGATAACAAAATTTAATCAAATACGATGTAGACCTCCTACCAAGAATTGCATTTACATTGGGAGCAACAGAATCACTGGGAAACAAGTGAAGGGGCAGCCCTCCCAGCAGCTAATATGGCTGTGGCGACTGCGAATTTGACGTTTTCTTTCGTTATGAGATGCAGCTCGTCCTACCGAAATAGTTTCTGATGCTAAACACTCTCACCACTACGGAGAGTCTTTCCTGGCGGCTATATTTTTTAGCCACCTACGCCATGCGAACAAGATTTTTATATATTTGATATCATCATATTTTGTCGATATCTTCAACTCAATTCATCAAGGAAGTCCACAGTTCGGCAGCACGTCATCATGACAGTTAATGTTGGCACACACGTTGGTAACACTTAATCATGAGAGTCAAGGCATTGTCAGTCAGCACGCCAACGTGTTGGCAGAGACCACTGTCTGCCATTTTCACAACCTATTTCACTGGTGCAAATGTAACTACGGGCACAGACTCGCCGTCATTCACACGTTGGCGACTCGTCATGTCAGTCAATATCTTGTTGTCAACGCGCTCTCTTCCAAGCACTCTTCGGAGTATACTTCACTGGTGTCAAGTGAACTGTAAAAACATTGTAATGTGAGACCATATAGTCTCTCAAAATATTTTATACGTCAACCAAAGTAAATAAAGTTGTAGTTCCATACTTGCGAAAACTACGACGACTTGCTTCGTTGTGTATCATACGTCACCAGTCTGTAAATTTCGTTTTCCCGAAGGCATAAAGGGACAAGTTTCTTCAATTATGGAATGAAATTGAAGGCAGGACATCAGAAGAAGAACAAAGTGTATTAACATGGATATTTAATGTATCTGTCATGGTTCATGTCATTATTAGTCATCTTTTTAAACATATTCTTAATTTCTATTCTATGTCCTTTCCGGATGACGCTGTATTCTATATAGTTTTGCAGTCCTTAACCCCGAAGAAGACCGCAGCATGGAGGCTTAACCACTGTCTGGGACGCGGCGTCTATCGAACAGCGAATACTTCCTTAACTCCGAGCACGCAAGACCGTCTACGGTTGCTATTTCTGTTACTCTCGGGTTTCCTCAACGGCATCCAGCGTTGGAAGTGATTTTATCCTCCGTTCGCCTCCGTGCAGACGGTGTGGTGGAACGACAATGCCATGGGCAATGCCAGCGTTGTCAGAGGGTTGGCGCAGTGCTCGCGCGTACACACGCTTGAGGCGGCGCCGGTGGCGGCGGTGGCGGCATTGGCGGTGGCAGCGGCGCCCATAAACATGCACTTCCCTCGATTGACGCATCACAGCGAAACGAGCTCCCTCCGCCCGCGAGAGCCCCGTGAGAGCGGCGCTGCGCGGCGGAGGTCGAGGGCGCCGTAACGCGGCAATGCGGCGCCGCTGCTTCCTCCGTCGCCGCCTCCATCATCGCTGTCGCCGGCGCCTACGGTAGCACCGAAGCCGTTGCCAGCGCTGTGGCCGTCGCCGTCACCTTCGCCGTTGCAGTTGCTGTCGCGGTTACCTCGCCGACGTCGTCACTCATCCTCATTCACCATCGCTGTTGTTGTCGTCACCTTAGTCGCCGTCACCGAAGCCTTCTTTTGGAATTGCTGGTCGACACCGATTGTGCGCGTGCTGATTCACCCTCGATAATGGCGGCGTCGATCTGCGATGCAGTGCATGCTCTCCGGGCAACAAGGATCAGGATATAACATTGCGCATCTACAGAACTGCAGCCAATATGCAATCAGGACCTGGATGACGCTTCATTAGCCCTGAGTGGAAGCGAACTTTGAGACAGCTTGGCCAGGGTCATCATTTAAACTCTAGTTGTAACATTTTAGTGTGTGCACATGTGGAAATGTTTATGGTATTATAAGTTAATTTGCTATGAGCATTAATTATTTCGTAAATTTCTCATAAACTGCATTACTTGTTGCACATTAAGAGGCCCGCTCATACCAAGCAATTACATTATGTTATTATCGACGCACTTTGCATACCATGGCAAATGTTCTCCTACCGTAAAGGCAGCTTCACACGTTCGAGTTCTCGGTGATTAGCGAGCCAGCGATCGCTGCATACGGATAAATGGGTTTCTTACAAGTTGTGGAGCGACGAACATTCGGTGCTACCCCTACCCACTGCGTCTTTTGGACTCATTAAAGGAAACGCACATCCTCTGTTCTGAATTGGGCGAGCAGTAACCTCGCTACTCGGTGAATACCGAATATGTAAAGCCGCTAAAACGAATACAATCAAATCTTTGTATCGTCACCAGTACTATATGTCTCTCATATTATTTGTTATCTTGTCCTACGCTAAGGCGCAGTGGTAATTTAAATGTCGAGTGGCTATGTGTACAATTGTACAGACTTAAACTTAATGTTTTTTAAAAATGTAATGGTTCTTCAACAATGTTTTTGGTGAAGGTGCATTACGAGGCACTGCCAAAAATCCATCATGCGTAATAATTAACGCATAATTAGCGGCGGCTGATGCCCTAACAGACTGGAGGTTGCATCTCCATCGAATGACGGAAATGTAATTTTAAGAATTCAAAATACGAATATACAATAAAAATGAAAGCAATTCAAATTAATTAAAACTAAGCGAATTAAAGGTCCAAATTGAAACATTATTTACATAATTTTATGCGTCGTGTCCGTGTCAGGTATGTGATACACCTCTCGCGCACGCGGTTCTGGCTTCGATTTCCACTGAGCACTTACGTTCGACTCCAAAACATTGCAATAATCATTATTGCTTCGAATCGTTTCACACAAATAAAATTATTTTATTTTGAAACCCTGGTATATATGACAATACTGAAAGAGCTTCGATACACATTCGTGTTCACAAGAACGCTCGAAACTGCTGTCGGGCCAGCGGTAAGGAACAAGACACCAGAGAAAGAGAGAGAGAGAGAGAGCCAGCAGGACGCTCTTTGGTTTCAAAATGATTTCATAAACATCGATATTGTTGCAATATCTTGAATATTAAATGTCATTAAAAGGAAAGTGTATATCCAAAAGATGTAATATTTTTTCGATTATCTGGGGGTTGTGCACCGTGCAATCTAAGCAAGAGCCGCCATTTCTGGTTTCTGGTTGGAAGATATATTTCTATTTTCGAAATTTAAATCAAAGCAACAACTATTTGGTCTAGAGTTGCGATGTCTGTCTTTAGAGGTTTTCACATAACGAAACGTTATATAACATTGTAAGCATTGTTTTACTTACGAACATACAATATCGTCTGTCACTTTAATATTTGTACTTTAAGCACAATAAAAATGCAGAACAAAAAATGCATACTACGCGAAGTGCGAAAGCTGCAACATGCTCATTGGTAGGGCGAAATACTTCGAAAAAATACATAACAATCGTATTCAGATAAAATCGAAGAAATACACATGCTTTTTACGTCTGTCGTTACGTATGACGTAAGCCTACAATACAATTTCTTTTAACTGTCCCGGAGATAAAAAATTCTAATGGGTTTAATCATGCAGATAATGAAATCACACGCATGCAGAGATACCCAGCCGAACGATCAAATCTCGGCAAAGAAAAGAATACAATCCGATGACAATTAGCCTTTGTTACGTCGGTTTTATCACTCACAATGCTGCAATACGAATCACGTGATCGCTGCGGTTCAATGCTCATTGTGTGGGGGAAAAAGGAAAGACTCTATTCGGCTGGCAATGGGGCGTGCACTTTGCCTTCGCGTGACGCACGGAAATGGAAATGTGTTGCCTGGCTGTCGCCAAGTAGGAAAATGTCGGGGCTTTTAAGGCGAAGAAAATAAGCGCCGATGCTATTGTAAAAACCTCCGCCATGGTTTTCAAGAAAACGTCATGGAAATGAAGAGAAAATGTATCTGTAAAAGCAATTGTGGTATTTTACTACGAAAATTTGTATAATTAACCTAATAGAAACTTCAATGCTCAAACTCTCACTTCAATTCTCTTTCTGCTGCCTCGGCCCCTAACCCTTCTTGCACCCACAGAAATCGTGTTTGCTTTTAAATGTTTACAAATCAAAGAAGACGACTTCGGAGGGAAAGCGATCAAGTTTATAACTGATGCTAATAAAAGAAATTGGACACCTTATTGCAGAAAATTTGCCACTCTATTAAACGAGTCAACTTAAATGATAACCCGATGGTAAACAACGAGAAAAGAACCGCTCTTAAAAATGGGTTTAGTGCTAAACGAACTTACATTTACACAAAATCGACATTTTAACATCTACATTTTAAATTTTATTAAAAGATACACTTCATAGAAAAGACTAGACTATAGTACATTGTAAGTTCATAGACAAGAGTTTACTGAGTCTATAACCTCCGAAGTAGAAATAAACGTTAGTTATAATAAATTCTTAAAGAATTTCATTCAAAATTGCCATCGATCTTTCCATTAATTGTAAGAAACAAAAAAGCCTTCAACTGTGTTGATGGACTCTGTTCCGCTTGTTGCTCGGTACGGACCTCGGAGGCAGCGGGACTTGGATCTGCGTTCCAACACGCCGAAGCGTAAAACAGGCTTCTCACACGTTCCTGGTATGACGGGCTCTTGCTTCGCTATCTCATCTCATAAGCATGATACAGTAATAATTAATTTTTCATGATCATTCTAACTTCTAAAAAATAGAAGGGAACGACAAGCTCCCTTGTAATGATCTATCATGCAAAGAAGAAAGGCGTGAAAGTGTAAAATCTGTTACTTT